AATAGCATACTATACGTTACACTGCACAGCATAATAGCATACTGTACATTATTATTTGGGCTCACACACTACACACAGTTTTGTACAAGAAAAAATCTTGCTTTTATCAAAGATGGTGAAATATTTTAAAACTGTCCTGTAGTGTGTTTTATACCACCTACCGTAGTCACAATTGGTGAAACTGTTAATGACCCACAAGCCAATGCCTCACATCTGCTTCATTAGGGAACCTTATGCAGAATATTGTACCTCTAGACATCCCTGTCATCCAGTTCAATATTCTTAAAAAATTTGGGCATTGTTTTTTCTCATAATTAGAGAGGAGAGAAACCCTCAAGAAGACTTCTAGCTAGATCATAATTACAGGTATAATGTAATTTAGTTATCAATTTTTACCGCCGTCTTTGAGTTGTTGCTTATATGAGTTGGGTATGTTCTACATGCCAGCCAAGGGCAAAGAATGATATACAATCCAATCCCAAACTCTCATAATTCCAATCATTGTATCAAATGGGAATATTTTCCCAAATAATCAACTACATGCCTGTGTCAGAAGCCCACAGCTGTGCTGTGCTTGAAATATATTCTGGAGAATTCAACATTTTAGTTTGACTCTCAATAAAGAGGTAGTCACCACAGGCATAAAAAATTGCTAGTGCATACATATTCTTTTCCACCAAGTTAAATGAGGGTAGGATTGTAGATAAAAACAACAAGATAGGAAAAGGTGGAAGAATGAGAAATAATTTAAAAAGAAAAGGTAAATGATACAATGGAAAGGACTGTGATCAGTTTAATTTAGATGGACAACCCAGATATGGCAATGCAAGATAGAGAAAACCATCTATTAACTACTTGTCCACAGAACAGTAGTACAGTATAAGGATCCCAGGTTGTCAAGCTTCTGCCAAGGATTTTTTATTTAATTTTATTTTTTAGTACATTATAAGAAAAACCCTGATAAATCAGAGTTATGGTAACATACAAAATGTTTTCAGGTATTTACACAATTTTAGAACACTTCCTAATGCCTGTTTTGAAATGATATACAGTACTGTACTGTATTTATGCAGACCAAGGTATAGGAGAATATATTTTGAAATTTTTGTGAGGTGGATTAACTTTAGATGATTTACAGTGTGGGTTGGGCTCAACGTTCACAAACACACATGGATACAAGTCTTCACTTCGAGTTTTCTTATAAAAACAGTCCTTTAAGATCTAATAGAGGACAGTCATTGTATAAGTATACTACAAAGGACAGGCCTTTAACTTCTTTCAGGGTGGTACATTATTATCAGCACTACACTGTAATTTATACTTTTTCTCCCCTCTATAAAAATCATATCCTCATTGTAGAGCCTTCTGTTTCTCCTAATATCTAACTTTTACTTTAAGGATAACCAAGCCACGATCTAAGCTAGGTAGTTCCACAGTCAAAGTCAGTTAGGTATGTTCTATATGCATGTGCCTATACTGTCTACATAGACAGTACACAAATTCTCCTTAATACTACTGTATTGGAGTTTTGGCTTAACCTTAATTTTTCTGCAAATATTTCTGCAGAGAATATTCTATATGCATAAATATTTTGTACAATTGAATTATGCAATTTTGCCAAGAGCTATTTAAGAATAAAATGGACATTATTTAGACTCAATTACCCATATGGGAGAAAGAGATTTATCAGAAGGAAGTTCCTTTCTGTAATCACCACCTAATGTACATAATTCTTTCAGCACATATATACTGAAGACTCAATTTAATGGTTTGTTATCCACTGTCTCCCATAATTTACAATTATTAATGTTTCTCATACAGTATACTGTGCTGTACTTAGCTCTGTGTCCTCTAGGAACTCCCTAGCTAACAAACATTATGGTTACAACACTTCTTTCACAAGTCTCCCAGAATCTAACCTGCTGTACATACTGTATATGAACACACCCTTAGACTTTTTAACAACATATATAATACATCACTTTTATTATAATGGAAATAAACATCAGTGAAGCAGAAAAGAAGAAAAAATATGTGTGAATACCAGTATAAGTATGGTAGTTACCAATAAATAATAACATACCAACATAAAACACCACCATTATACCATATCTGGGTGCTTAGTGGACTGGCAGGTTCCATAGTAACAAAACAGCTGATAGCAGAGATGCAGCCACAAGCTTTTTTATTTCTATGTGACATCCTTACTGCAGTGCTGGGTACAGGAACAAGGCCGTGCGTTTCACTCTTTCAACTGATATGTTGAGCAACCTGCCAGAGTGTGTTGTGACGGCACCGAGTGTGAGTTCTTTCAAGACCAGACTTGATCAACACTGAAGCAGGTTCAGATACTTTCTGGAGCCAGTGCCTGCCCAGTACTTGCCAACAGGGCGTAACAGAGACATGACCGACCACCCAAGCGGCTAACAAGCCGATCAGTGGCGAAGAGGATAAAAGTAAAAAAGTTACTACAGGGTGTTGTCAGGCTACAGCATGTTGGCAGAGGTGCCATTTAATACAATTTTGGGGATGTTTTCAAAACAATTTTCTTTCTATTTTGTAAATGTTAACCAGGAATCTAAACATTTGAAGATAGATTGTCAAATTCTTATACTGTACAGTACTTTTATCAAAGGAAGCAAAGGCGAACAACATTTAAGTTAAGAAATTGTAAACGAAAAATTAATGATGGCAGGGAGTTACAAAGCAGGTGATTGCAGCAGGTTAGCAGCTGCAACCATGAGCATTTTTTCCTCTTTTAAATTTATTATTGAGTAAAAGAGTAAGTTCAACAAAGTCGTATTTATGTATGGAAATACAGTATTTACTGTACTGAATAAATAGAATTTACCATAATCCTCACCAGAGATGGCAGAGAAAATTGTTTGAAGAGGCTGCTCAAAAAATGATACTGGCACAGCTTTTGTAAGCAATGCATATATAACACATTTTTTAATAATTATATGGCTTGTGATGGGTATAATTGAGGCTACTGGTACAGTTTTTTTTATTATAAAGAATGCAAGTGTATCCATATCTTTATTGTAGGTTAAATCTTAAGAAAAACTGGGGTTTTGTGAGGTGGCTCAGAACCAAACCCCATAATTACTGTATATAGTTACTAAGAAAAATTAACCCTTGGATTCTGAATAACTGCCTTACTAGCTGGTCCATAGGTCCCTAACCCATTCATTAACCAGGTTGTTCCTGTACTTATATTTCCCCCAAAATTAGTAGATATAATTAGCAAATTGAATTTTATGATCATTCCTCCCCCACCTGTTTGATTGCTTCTTTGATCTACCTCCACTATGATTCAATGATTCATTTTATTGTGTTCTTCACAGTTCTGTGCCTTTAAGAATAATTAAATCAACCAAAAGATTTCTTTTTTAGATATATTGGTAGTTGGCTTTTGCACTACTTCACTAGAATGTACAAAGAAGTTTGAGAAGCAATGTGTTTTAACCTTAAACATCAGCCATCATTAGAGGAAGTGTGCTGTAGGGACAGCGGGCATTGTCAGTGAACAGTTCTTGCTTCTTGCATTCCATTTTAGCACATGTAGGGGTAGAGTAGAAAATCCCTAGCCACTGGTTAATGGTTAATAATTCACTTGGTCTTCTATGGTAGACTGTATGGGGTTCAGTGTATGTTGATAGTTTACTTTAGGTCTTCTCAGTGTATATAGAGAAGATTCTGGCTATTTCTTTTGTAAAATGTATAAGGGGTAAACAGGAAGCCTGAGGTCATGATAAATTTCTGCACACTAAGAAAGCTGTATGTATGCATTTTCAAATGTAAATAGGCTTACATATACATATCAAGGCTAGTCCTTTTTGCTAGTAACACATACTAATGAGAGGAATTGATCATACATTTCCAGTTTGTACTAAGATACAGCACATAGATATATTAGAGCTTTATAGCATATGACTCGTGCATCATGCACAGCACCTTTTAGCTAGCAGTGTATATATCTGCCTTTTTTTTTTTTTTTTTCTCAAAATAGCTCCGTCAAGTCAAGTGTCTCATGTGCCATTTCGAGGTCAAGTAACTACAGAAAGTATCAGGAAGTTTAAGACTAGTACTCTAGAATGAATGGTTTAATTATAATGGGGTGGTCTTCACACACCTTCCCTCTGTTTAGTACCTCCTCGTATTCAGTAAACTGGCTATGCGGGAAAAGTTCAGGCTCCTGGTAACTCCAGTGGCTCTGTACAAAATTCATACTGTACTTGAGAATTTGTGCGGAATGTCGCCTACCATTTTTAATATACAGTATTTTTCGTATTAGGAATATTTTATGTGGTTAGTGATCTTTAGGTGCACTTGAGACACTGAGTCACTTTATATGAGAAGGAAAGGAGTCCTATTTTTCAGATTTTGTGTACTCAAAATGCTGCAGCTTTTTGGTATTATGCTACTGATATTTGTTCTAACAAAATTTCAGATGCAAGCTCTTGCTTATATGCGGGCATTAATAATTTGATATTGTGGCACATTAGTTCAGGAACCAAGTTTTTGTGCCTTATGCCATCACCATTCTTCCTGCTTCTGCATACTGTATATATTTAGTGAAGTTGAGTTGGCAGGTACAGATTCCCTTACCCAAGGCCTCTTATCTCTAATTTTCTTTAGTGGTGAAGTGTATTTCTTAATGTATTTTCCTACAGAAAAATATTTAAAACAAAGTATTTTCAACAGTGGATTTTAGTATTGAGAGTTCTGTTATCATTGAATAATTGGGTTAAGTGATTATTTATGGAAATTTATAAACAACGATTCTTCGTGTTTGGTAAATGTAAATTTGTCCTTTCTTTGATAAATCTAGGTGATTAGCAGTAAGATTATGTAATCATAATGTAATTTTTTTACTTAAAGATCATGAGAATAATATTTATTTCTGCACTTGCTGAAACGATAACAATATATTTGCAATTAAGAGGTTCTTATAGTCATATAGGTAATGAACAAAGTACCAAAGAAGCTAATAATTCTATGTATCATGCATTACAGCTGCAGAAATTGAGGAAGATGGCAAGTGTTTCACTGGCCGCAGAACTCGTCTTCCTGCCCCTAAGCCTCTTACAGAAGATTTCTCTGTATGGAATTTCTTGTATAAGAACATTGGAAAAGACTTGTCTAAAGTGTGCATGCCAGTCACCTTAAATGAACCTCTGAATATGCTGCAGGTAACTATACACTGAAGGAGGATCTGATGATTAGAAAGTCATGTATTCTAAAAATGGTAAAGAATAACAAGTTGCTATACATATTAAATAAGTGTAGAATGTGTCTGTGCATTCAAATTGTTTGTTATTATTTCCAGCGCATGTGTGAAGAGTTAGAGTATAGTGAGCTTTTGGATAAAGCTGCTGGCTTGGAAGATGCTGGAGACCGCATGGTACAAGTTGCAACATTTGCTGTCTCGGCCTATGCTTCATCAATATATCGTGCAGCTCACAAGCCTTTTAATCCTCTTCTCGGAGAGACTTTTGAATCTATCAGAGAAGACAAAGGCTTCAGATTTGTAGCTGAACAGGTACGGTTACTCTCATTGTACTTTTAATTATTGGTTATTGCTGCTGCTATTATTATTATTATTACTGTATACTGTATTTGCATATTATTTGCATTATTATTAATACAGTATAGTCTGCATTTACGCGGCTTTTGTTTACGCGTTTGGTCATTTACGCGGTGCCTTGCCAGAATGAAATGTTTTAATTACGCGGTAAATTTGGTCATTTACGCGGGAAGCGGAGCGGGCAGGGTGCGCACAAGGTCGCCCAGTCATCAAAACATTACTGAGTTCTTCACCCACCACAGACGGCCCAAGTCAGTGATAGTGATACTGATAGTGAGGATATGGACTTTAAGGGGTTTGACAAAGGCCCTGCAAGCCTCTGTGGTGGATAGTGATACAATTGATACAAGTGAGGGCCAATAATCTGCCCTCTGCCTCGGAACCAACCCCCCATCCCCGTGTGCCCAGCCATCTTTTCTACTAACGTAAGTGTTAAAAAACCTTATATTATTGATATTTCTCTTAATTATTAATTGTGTGTGCATACCATCATAAAATTAAGATGTTATTTTGACTACAAGGTACGTATTGTGTCGGAAAAAGTGGAGTTTGGGGGGTCGGCCAAGTCTCTATTTCAATTACAGTCGAGTCTGGATTTACGCGGGTTTGGTTAACGCGTTTGGTCATTTATGCGGTGCCTTGCCAGAATCTAAATGCTTTAATTACGCAGTAAATTTGGTCATTTACGCGGCGAGTCGCTGGAGTGTCCAGACGCGCCGCGCCATTTTGGATTCAAGCGGCCCAGGCAACCACAAGCGGCGCGAGTAAGGTTGTGCAGTACAGTATGTCGCTGTTGCGTTATCGGTGACGTCATATGACGTATCGGACTGTGATTGGGCCATGCATCCTTACCGCCCCTTCATTCCCTCCGCTGCTAGCGGTGATTGGTCTAATGTAACATGACGTGCCCTGCCACCAGAGGGTAGAAGTCGCTGACCTAGCCGGGCCAGTCTCATTGTTCTCAGTCCGCATATACAGTTCTCTATTGTGCCCGCTATTCCCCTCACAATGGCTTCCGCGGGACCCCCACCACCAGAGAAAAACATTGAATTACCTGGACCAAGTCATGATAATGTGAAGGAAATCATCGAGTTGGGGAGAAACTTAAGCTCATCCTTGACAACGACCCAGAGAAGCATCGGTATGAAGCGTCTCATAACCATCTGATGAAATTTATGGAGCCGTATATCCAGATCTATCTCGACAACATCAATGCTAGTCGTCAACGTAGTATTGAGGACTTCCTCGCCCGCAACCCACCACAACCACAGCCAGCCCAAGTCAGTGATAGTGATATTGACAGAGGATATGGATGAGAGGTTTGTCTGGGAGTCCCTGCAAACCCCTGCGAGTAGTGAAAGTGATTCACCGGAGGGCAACTAATCTGCCCTCTACCTCGGAACCAACCCCCCATCACCGTGTGCCCAGCCATCTTTTCTACTAACGTAAGTGTTAAAAATCCTAATATTATTGATATTTCTCTTAATTATTAATTATGTGTGCATACCATCATAAAATTAAGATGTTATTTTGACTGCAAGGTACGTATTGTGTCGGAAAAAGTGGAGTTTGGGGGTCGGCCAAGTCTCTATTTCAATTAATCCCATATGTTCTGTTATTTCAGTTACACGTTTCTCGTTTTACGCTGGCCTCCACGGGTTCAATTGACCGCATAAATGCAAACTGTACTGTATTACTATCATTGTCATTATTATAATCATTATTATTATTATTATTATTATTATTATTATTATTATTATTATTATTATTACCCTGTATTACTATTACTATCATTATTATCATTATCATCATTGTCATTATTATAATCATTATTATTATTATTATTATTATTACCCTGTATTACTATTACTATCATTATTATCAGTCATTATTATAATCATTACAGTAGAACGTCGATGTAACACGAGATACATTCCAAGAGAGATCGTTTTAAACTGAATTCCCACTAAATTGAAGCGTTGTTTCAATGGAATAAATTAATTTGGTACTTGAGAGAAACACAAAATATTAAAAAGACTGAGAGTCTACCCAGATGCACCTTAGCCCATCTCCTAGACTAAACAAAACATTGTTTTTTGTAGTATTATGTTAAAGCAAACACTCATAAATCAACACGGCTAAAATTATGGGACATGAAATGGTCTTTTTATTAGCGATCAGCTGATGGAAAGATGGGGGGGGAGGTGAGGTGATATGTTTGACAGTTGATGCCAAGGTCTAGTGCTTATTTATTTATCTGTCCTTAGGGGTGATTTTATGTTTTTCTCTTATAAAATGTTACTGAACTGACATGTTCTAATTAATTTTTTTACAAAGGGCTAAAAATTTTTATCTCGTGCATAATATATGACGTTTATATTCAAATTATTCGCTGTCTTGCAAGGATTTTAGCAATGCAAATTATATTCTCCTAACTTTAGGATGTGATATTATATAAGATAAAAACTGTAAGCCTATAACCACCCAACCCTGGCTTGGAAGATGGGGGGGGGGGGGTGGGGAGGTGACAGTGACATGTTTGACAGTTTGTGCGAAGACCTTGCGAAGTATTATTTATTTGTTTATTTATGTCATTTAGAATGAATTTTTTTTATAAATGTCACAGAAGTGACCGGGGAGAGTATAATTTACTTTGCTGGAATTCTTATAAGATAGTGATTAATTTGAATATATAATCATGCTATAGTTTGCACTAGACAAAAATTTTAGTACAGTCAACCCTCACTTTACGCGGTCCCACATTCCGCGTTTCCACGTTTACGCGGTGCCCTGCCAGAACCCAGGATGCTCACATTCCGCGGTGGGTGTACCCCTTTACACGGTGAAGTATAATTTTTTTATTTAGCTCATAAAATTCATACAAATTATCCGGCCAGAATATAATTTACATTGCTGGAATTCTTACAATTTGATGATCATTTTGAATATAAACATCATAGATTTTGCATTAGACATACAAATTTTAGATATAATGTTTACTCTTGAGTAAATATGTTATCTTTTGTGCAAAATATATGATATTTATATTCAAAATATTCCTGGTCTTACAAGGAATCCAGCAATGTCAATTATATTATCCTAACTTTAGTCTGATTTATTATTTATTACTAAAAAGGTAAACAGTCTGGTATTCCCACACATTTATCTAGTAGGGACGTTGGTGGGGGGGGGGGGAGGGAGGGAGGGACCGGCGACCGACCATCTGTTACCGTGTGAAGAATATTTTTTTTTTATTAACTGAAGATTTTTATTTTAGCTCATAAAATTCATACAAATTACCCGGCCAGAATATAATTTACATTGCTGGAATTCTTACAATTTGATGATCATTTTGAATATAAACATCATATATTTTGCATTAGACATAAAATTTTTAGATAAAATGTTCACTCTGAGTAAGTATGTTATCTTTTGTGCAAAATATATGACGTTTATATTCAAAATATTCCTGGTCTTACAAGGAATCCAGCAATGTCAATTATATTATCCTAACTTTAATCTGAGGTATTATTTAATACAAAATGTTAAAATTTATTTTTTTCACCCACTCTTTCTCTTGAAGGGAGGATTGGTGGGGGGTGGGGGGAGGGTTGGGACTGACCGCGCGGTTGGAAGAGGGGGGAGGCAAGGTGGGGTACTTTGATTGACAGATAGTGTCCTGAAGAATATTTTTTTTTTATTAACTGAAGATATTTGTTTTAGCTCATAAAATTCATACAAATTACCCGGCCAGAATATAATTTACATTGCTGGAATTCTTACAATTTGGTGATCATTTTGAATATAAACATCATATATTTTGCATTAGACATACAAATTTTAGATAAAATGTTTAATCTGAGTAAATATGTTATCTTTTGTGAAAAATATATGACATTTATATTCAAAATATTCCTGGTCTTACAAGGAATCCAGCAATGTCAATTATATTATCCTAACTTTAGTTTGAGGTATTATTTATTACTATACCTGGTTTTCCCCCAAAATTTCTCAGAGGGAAGAGCCAGCAGTGTAGTGTGAGAAGAGGGGAGGGAGTCGTGTCCATTATTTGAATGGACATTAACTTGGCGACTGTATTTCTCTATTTCTCTTAAGTATTAATTGTGTGCATGTACCATCATAAAATTAAGATGTTATTTTTACTAGAACATAGGTATGGTGTTGGAAAAAGTGGAGTTTGGGGGTCAGCTGGTCTCTATTTCATTTAATCCCATATGTTATGTTATTCACTTTACGCGTTTCTCACTTTCCGCGGTACCCTGTGGGTTACATTAACCGCGTAAAGTGAGGGTTGACTGTATATCATTTAGTGCATTATTTTGAGTACATGTACTGTACAGCTTTGGCCTTAGGACAGTGTAGCGTGCCCAGAGAAACATTAGGCATGAATTTTAAAATATGATGCACCAGATTGACTCGCTCAAAATAGGAAAGATTCACTTTAAATTAAAACATTGTCCTTAATTGTCCTGAACAAGATTGTCTACAAGCATTTTTTTTCCCTAGGAGTTATAGTTGTTGCGTAAACAAGATCAGCTGGCATGTCTGTCTGTCTGTCTCTACATATAACACCATCCATCATCATCACTACATATATCACCACCCATCATCACTACATATAACGCCACCCATCATCATCACTACATATAACACCACCCATCATCATCACTACATATAACACCACCCATCATCATCACTACATATAACACCATCCATCATCATCACTACATATATCACCACCCATGACTACATATAACGCCACCCATCATCATCACTACATATAACACCACCCATCATCATCACCTAACCTAACCTGATGACCTCCAGCTGTGATGTGGCCGGCTGGCAACACCAACTGATCCCCACTTACCGTTATATTTTTTCTACTATAATGAAATATATAAAATAAAATAAATATATAAATGAAGAAAAAAATATAATAAAATAATAATACAGTTGTACCCCACTTAACGCGGTCAATAGAACCCAGAGGGTCCCGTGTTAAGTGAAATCCGCGTTAAGTGAACAACAGAACATATGGGATTAATTCCAATAGAAACCGGCCCGACCCCCAAACTCCACTTTTTGAAGACACATAACTATGTTGTAGTAAAAATAACATCTTAATATTATGATGGTACATGCACACAATTAATACTTAAGAGAAATAGAGAAATACAGTCGCCAAGTTAATGTCCATTCAAATAATGGACTCAACTCCCTCCCCCTCTCACACTACACTGTAGGCTCCTTCCCTCTGAGAAATTTTGGGAAAACCACTAGAATTTTAATAAATAATACCTCAAACTAAAGTTAGGATATACAATTGACATTGCTGGATTCCTTGTAAGACTAGGAATATTTTGAATATCTAAATGTCATATATTTTGCACAAAAGATATTATAGTTACTCCAGAAAAAAAAATTTTTCTAAAATTTGTATGTCTAATCACAAATATATGATGTTTATATTCAAAATAGAATTAAAATTCCAAATATAAAATTCTGTATTCCATTGCTAAAACAGGCAGTCAGGCAGGGTGGAGGGTGGGGCAAATCTAAAAATAGCGTCTCGAGCCAGGACACTCACCGCGTATATGATGGAAAAAATCCGTGTTAAGTGAAAGTTCAGCTCTGGCGAGGCACCGCGTATATGATAAAACGCGTTAAGTGAAACCGCGTTAGAGTAATAAAAAGAGATGGAAGACTAATAAGAAAAGTGGAGGCTCATGGCATTGGAGGAGATATTCTAAAATGGATAAGGGCGTGGTTACAGGACAGGAAACAGCGAGTGAGCATTGAAGACTTGGAATCTGATCAAACGGATGTTCTGTATCACACAAATGTGAGGTGACTTAGTTTGGAAAAAATCCTGAAAAAGAGTTTGGGAACTGAAAGGAGAGATTGACTTATTTTTGGACATGAAACAGAAAGCTATAGATTTCCCACAGTTGAATGATGAAAAATGGCTTTCCAATTTTGCATTTGCTGTTGATATCATGGGTCATATGAATAACCTGAATTCTAAGCTACAAGGGAAGGGGGCTTTTGCACTTGATTTATACAACAGTGTCAAGGTTTTTATGAAAAAATTACTTTTTTGTCTTGTCAGATAACAAACAAACAGTTTGCTCACTTTGCAACCTTACAACAGATTGCAGTTTGTGATCAAAATGTACAGAAGTACTCATTGCGCTACTTGACTTGCATGCCGAATTTTCACGCCGATTCCAGGATTTCAAATTAATTTAAAGTGACCTGTCTTTGGTGTCGTCTCTATTCCCATTTGATGTTGACAAAGCCGGAAGACGCAGCATTAGCTGTGATCAGACCTGACCAACTCAACCCTACCACCACTTCCCTAGGGAAGAGTAAAGACAACATCTCAAGAGAAGAAGAATTTCAGCCAGCAAGGTCAATTCTGTTCTATTACGTTGATGAACTTAAAGACTAATTATACTGCACCTTAACTATATTATTACTAGTAGTATTAATATTAGTATTTGTATTAGCATTATTATTAATAATTAAAGAGACTAGCTAAGAAGTTATGTACAGTATTTATTTACCCAAAATATCTATGTATGTTACTTAATATTCTCCTTGCATTCTATATACAGTATACAAATACAAGGCTTTATTTTGTGCAAATATTATGCATGTGCCTCTATATTTAGTCTGTGGCCCGCGAAGTGTACCACCATTCATGAAGTGGCCCGCCAATCAAAATAATTGCCCACCCCTGGCTTAGACAAATGATTAGTAAATAAACCTGGGTATATGCAGATGCATAATACTGTACACTACAATATTACTTACTAAGTAATGATAAATACACAATAGTATTTATTAAATGGTGATAAACACACTACAATAGTATTTATTAAGTGATAATAAATACACGACTGTGCTGTACTAATTTACTAAGTGTTGAAGACAGACATTGTGGTAAGTCAATCAGCTGTTTGCTCTTTGTAAACAAATGACTCGGTTCAGTGTGGGATTATTTTTTCAGGAAAGATGATTCTTTTAGGATAATATTTTATCAACCTGGCACCAGCTGCTCCCAGATATACTGTACACGCATTTCCACATACAATATACTGTACTCCTACACTTATTTTTATCATTATAGTACGTGCTGTACAGTATACATACAGTTTTTCTCTTTGTTCATAAGACAAATTCTGTGGTTACTTACATGAAACACTTTACAGTAAATAACAATCATCTCGGTGACAACAGTTGTTGACAACCAGACTTACATGTCTGATTTTCAACCCAGAGAGTTATTTCATATTTTTTTTATTGTTGGTGTAATATTCTTTTAATAACCTTGTTATACACTTAAAGACCTTAGTTGTTGAATTGCAGTAATAACATAACATCAACTGATTTTCTTTAAACAATTCAGATAAACAGTGTTATCCCCCATATTTTCCCTTTTTGGGGGGGGGGGGGGACTTTCATATTTTTCAGACTGGGTTCTATCCCAATTAGTCCAATTTATCGAGGTTCTACTGTAGTGGGATATCGTTCGTAGGTTGGGACGGCCGTAACTCGGGTACTGCCTGTATAAGCCTTTCTTCCTGCAGGGAGGCTGGAATCAAGAAGGGAAATAAACTCTACTCTAACTTCCCCTTATTCACTCAAGCTGCAGTAACATCCCTGTACTGTACACCACTCACTGCCATACTCTGATTATTCATGTGTTTACTGCTAACTAAATTTTCCTCTCCCTCACTTCTAGTACTTACTTCACTCTATCCTTCTGTTTTCTTAGTCATTTCCCCCTCCCACTTACAATCTGCATTTGAATAGGACACTCATTTTATCAAGCTTTCATTTCCCATTCTCTGTATCGGTATATCTGTATTTCCATGTTTCTGTCAAATTTCTGTATCCTGTACTGTATCTTATTCTCTGTATCCTGTTTACTCTTTATTTTGCTTGCAATTTTATCATTTCTTTCACTTCTAATTTGCTTAACTGGAGTTACCTTATAGGAAAGTGGTCTTGTTAACCTCTTTATCATGTAGAAAGGTTTCAAATATTTATGTACTTTGAAGAAAACCAAATTTTGTTTCCTTCAAACTTTATAATTGGTAACCCACATTTTTATCAAAGAATGGGCATCCTGGTTTTAGGCTGAAAGTCATTCACCCGTTGGCAAGAAAGGACAATGGTGGCTCTCACATTTTGTGGCCTTTTTTTTTTGTAGGATTTATTTTTATTCGCAGGTCCTTGACTTTGTAGTATTCAAACACTGGTGAATTCTTTAGAAGAACTGGTGCTTTTAAGAAACAAAAGACCAGTTATTATTATTATTATTATTATTATTATTATTATTATTATTATTAGTATTAGTATTATTATTAAAAAAAGGTGGATCTTATTATTCTTAATGTGATTCGTCCAGAGTCTCCATCTCCAAAATATGGGATATAGCATTTATTCGGTTTCAACCAAAAGGATACATATAACATCTTGTTCATTATGTGTATTAAGAGATTAAAAGCAACATGTTAATATATATTGAACTGTGTTCATTGGACGTACAATATTTCTTGGAGGAATTTTCAGATAATCTTGGCAAAACCAGATAGAATGAAAACTGTGTCAGATTGACAAATGCTCTCAAATTTATTTTAATATTCATTTAATTTAAAGTATAGTATGCTCCTTAATTTTTAATTATCAAGAAGAAAGTTTATAAAGTATGTTTAGGCTTATTCTCTTTATTATAATCATGTTTCATATTTAAGGTAAGCCACCATCCCCCTGTCAGTGCTTGCTATGCCAAGAGTCACAACTTTACCTTTTGGCAAGACATTCGAATTAAGACGAAGTTTTGGGGCAGATCACTTGAATTTCAACCAACAGGTGAGCTCGTATGCCTATTATGGTATATGCAATACTTATCACAGTAAAGAAACAAATGGTTAATAATGTGTCAAGTACATTAAATCTACTTACTGCAAATTCTAAGTAGATGCACACCAGTTACACTTCTTCTCCTATAGGGAAAGTCCACCTGGTTTTACGGGAGCCATTAGATTCTGGGACAGAAGACCACTATGAATGGAATAAGGTGACCTCTTGTGTGCACAATTTGTTTGGTGGTGGCCAGAGGTGGGTTGACCAGTATGGAGAAATGATCATCAAGAACACTACCAATGGTCTACTCTGCAAATTGTCATTTGTCCGGGTAAGCCATTGTGTGCATTTAGTTTATTCATATTCTATATTCCTATGAGTTTTATCTTCATTTTTAAATAGAAACAAAATAAAAATTATTAGCATACTTATCCTCGGGATTGTCTCTTGCTAATTTTATTTCTTTCCAGCAAACATATTTTTGGTCTGTGGGAGAAATAATGGTTATTGGTCCAGGATGTTTGAATTACAGTTACAGCAAGAACTCCTTAAGTTGGACTATATGGGGTTCGAGGCTGTCCAACTTACCGTATATGGCGGCGTATAAGTCGACCTTTGAAGCCAATTTTTTAGTGTTCAAAGTTAGGGGGTCGACTTATACGATGGGTATAAAATGATGACCATAAGTGAGAGTATTTTGTATTACAACCTTCATATTTACCTTTAATATAATTGTTCTATTTCTATTATGGATGAAATACATTTTTTCTCAGTAGTTTTATTTAAACACCTTTTGTTATTGATGGCTGTGTGTGGACTGTGGTGGAATGAGCAGAAAGTCAACTGAGTTCAGTGTTGCTGTGATTGTTGGGTCAGTCACTAATGACGTTGTGTGTGACGTCATGTATAGAGTGGCTTGTTAGACTGTTTACCTGTTTATGTGTTTTGATTGTTGACTTGGTCCTTCACAACACTTGACAGCTGCTGGAGTTGGGGAGTCGACTTATACGCCGCCATATACGGTATGCGTAACCTCCCACCAAGTGGTTTCAACCATCATTTTGCTGAAAAATCCCTTCCAAAAATAATATTAAAGTTAACAGTATACTTTTACACTGCACTTACTTTTATTGTAGCAAGTGAATCTTGATGTGGAGGACAATGAGGGGCTACTTAAACTTACAATATCTGCATTCACACTTGTATTGTGTTACACTTTACATTTAGTTACACTTATACTTTATTTAGTTACACTTATAGGATACACTTGTTTCTGACTAATGTCATAAAAAGTACTCCACTTCAGCCCAAACATCTCCCAGTTAACATTCATGGAGACTCCAACATCAATTCTTTCTCATATCTTCAGTTTCTTTTGAGTTGGTAGAGTTCTGAGAACCATTCCTTTTCTCCCAGTGATCCTTAGTGGTGTTGTTTTGCCTTTACTTGCTTTAGAGGACATTAAATACATCAGGGAAGCATTAACTACAATAAAAATATAGAGTGTGTAGCGGAGCAGTGGTTACAACAATAAAATTGTCCGACTTATGGGGGTTTCTGGGGTACAGAAGTCTGACTTAGATGGGTCTTACTTACACTATGTAGATGTATATGTATCTTGTAAGTTACACAGAATATGAATTGATAAGTCATGGTAAATGTCTTTGGTATTATGGAATTAATATTTTAGAATATAGGACTACCATCTTCCCCTACTCCCTCTCCTCCTTCTAGAAGATTTGGGTGTGGTGGGCATCCATCTTATTTTTGTGATTTTATAAGAAGTTGATGCTGTTGGATTAGTTTATGTGCAAATAACCTTGGTATTAAAGGACTTATTGTACTGGTTAATATAAAACTTTCTAATGAATATAATATTTTAAAAGATAATTGGATCTTCATTTTAATACTAAGGACCATCATTTAAGAAGATTTGTGACATTGACTAAAGTACTGTATGATCTTGACAAGTTTTGTATATCTGTTGAAGAAGCGATGCAATGTGGGTTTTATTTACTGGGTTTTTTTCTTCACCTCTTTGTGCATCTGAGTGTGTAGATGCTTGTCTTTTTCTTGATTACTGCATAGCTTTAATACATTATCAGTACAGATATTTAGGTGAAACTGGAAATAAATAAGTATCAGTAGTGGATGAACTGTATAACACAAATATTTAGGTTTGTGAAAAATAAAGAATTCATGAATATATCTAGAACATGATTCTTGTACTGTACTAATACAAAGATTTTTATGAAAATTAATGTGAATGCGACTCGTCGCCAAATAAAGTGCATAGAGTCAAATTCTAAGTTTATGGTCACTTTGGCAATGGCTGTATTATGTACCATATACAGTACAGTATCTGATAGGGTGGGTCCGATGACTTCCAAAGTTATAAGTGCAACTCGTGATGATTCGAGAGGGTTGGTATGCGTGTCTTCACCCACCGCCATTCAGCGTCCAATACGGGGTGAGTTGGCATATAGGAATAAAATGAACGGTTAAGTGATTACTATCACACACTATAAGGAGATGACACAAATATCCCAATCTATTGTCCGTGGTCTCATTGTTTCACATAGTGTGTGCACAAATACTTTTTTTAGCTACTGTACCATAGGCTTAAACACCTTTGTTGTGTTTATTTACATCATTGAACTCTGCTACTGCACCCTTACTTTCCAAATTATGCTCCCTTGTTTTGTTTGCAGGTGTATTTGGCTAAAAAATTAATTCTGTAAATTTGCTTCCCAACAGGCTAGTTCATGGTCAGCAAAACGCCACGAAGTCTTTGGGACTGTCACAGACGCTGATGGCCAAGTGATACACAACCTATTTGGCAAGTGGACAGAGGCGCTCTACTGTGGACATGCTCCCTCAGCTCGAGTGATGTGGCGTCCAGGGAGCATGCCTGAAGATTATCATCTTTATTTTGGTTTCACGCGATTTGCAATGGAACTTAATGAGTTAGATGATGATCAGTCCAAATATTTACCTCCAACAGACACCAGATTTAGACCTGATCAGCGGTGAGTTTCTTACCCACCTTTGTTGAAAGTTTCATTAAGTAAATAAATCTCCAGTTATAAACTTTTAAATTATTTGGTCTATAGTTCAAACTTCTTTGTACTGTAATAGCTATATCCGTTATCCATCAAATTTCACCATGTGGTAACTGTTGTTTGGCCAGAAATGTGCCAGATTATCAACATTGCATAAATTTGGAAGAAGTAAAGTGGTTTTGGAAGATAAGATTTCTAAGGGTTTCACATGAGAGTGAGAGGACCTTACTCCAAGAGAACTTTTTATCATAATACAGTATTTGTATCTTTATAGGTTATTAGAAGAAGGTAATATGTCTGGAGCCGAAATGATGAAAACACAGCTGGAGCAACAGCAGCGTGAGAGGCGCAAGAATCGTGAAGAAACTGGAATTGAACACATACCCATGTGGTTTAGGTGAGTGATATATTTTGTATATTAGCTTGTGTTACTGGAAACTGTCCATCAGTCTATGTTTACATCCATCCAAGGTTTGTGAAAACTTTGACTCCAACATTTGATAATTGATTTTATGTACACTTGATGTGTGGTTATATTTCAACAAGATCTTATGAGTTGGTTAATTATAATTTTCTTTCCTTATCAACCTAAGTTATGGCCACTTAGATTTTACTGCGGTGTGGCAGGAGAATGGACGAGTTGTTGGTCGGAATTTTTTTGTAAGATGGCAGGTCAATGGATAAAGAAAATGCTTAAATTCACTATGGTAATGATATTCTTAAATAGATTGGGCCAATAAAGGTGTAAAAAATAAGGGGTAAAGTAGCTAAAAAGTCACATGACTGCAAAAAGCTCTGTGATTGGTTGTGACATCACAGGTTGGCTCGAGCCGCTGAGCAGGAGCCTGGAGGCAGCCAGCTATGGTGTATGTTACCAGCAGAAATACAGGACTTGTGGCCATATACAGTGCTGATATACACAGGCAAACCTTATTTTTAGGTTAAAATAAATTACTGCTCAAGTATCATCGTGTGTATTTACTTGCTGGGTGCCAAAAGACCGATAACTCCAACATGGAAGTTTTCGTCACTGTTCTCTATTTTATGTCTGGAAAATGTAAGTTTTCATCACTGGTGTCGATATTTAATGTTGTGGAAGGACTTGGGACGACCATGGTCAGAGGATGGGCTTGAGATGATCAGATGGCAGATATAATTTAACGTGCTTCATAGCTGGATGGCGGAGTCCTTGATAATACTCTACTGTCATAATGACATCTACTTTTGGTAGATTTCTTCCATCTGCCTTGATGATCCCTGGAAGTAGTTGTCCAACCTTCTCGGCTGATCGGCTCTGTAAATAAATATTATTAGATAATTAATTGTGCTTTACTGTGCAACACAGTAATACTAAATTGAATATATAAATATTACTAAGCACATAAACTAATTCAATGGATATTTGCTGCCCCTACTACAAATTTCATAGTACAGGTTGTACCTCTCTAGTCCGGCAACCTCGGGACCTGACCGGTGCCGGACCATGGAAATTTCCGGACCATGGAAATTCACCCTTTTCCTGGATAGATAGTGACTTGGCTTGGAAGCACTAGCACCACTTTCTCTGCTTCATGGTCTCTTTGAAGACATATTGAAGGGTTAAATGTCGTACAGTAGCTTCTCAAATTTTGCAAGTTTTTAATCCGACGTTTTCTATTTGAACACAAAAAAAACACATTTAAAAATTTTGACGGCGGAAACTCGAATTTCGACGGGTATGAACGGCCCACCAACGTTCAGACGACGTGCACAATCATGTAAACAGCATCATTTCTCTTATGTACAAAAGATTCATTATTGTTTATTACTGAAAGTCTTTTTGATTTAATTAATGTTTGTGTGTGCAGAATGAGCAATACAATTCATTAATAATACGTAGAATATTAAAACACGAGGAAATGAGGCGGCATTGTTTTCGTTGATTACAAAACCAGTGACTGACTGGTTCTACATATAAAACTGAAGAAAATAAGACCTTGGTTGTAGCTGTAGTAAAATTAATATGGTTGTTTTAAGTAATGTTATTTAATGTTAATAAATGGAACAATAGAAGTAGCTAACGATAATGGTAAAGAAAAAAGAGAGATCGCATTTGTAAATGCGCACACGTGAAAACATATCGTCATTACTCTACATAAGAATATGAAAGCAACACTTATTTACTGCTCATATATATTGAAGGGTTAAATGTTGTACTCTGTATAGACAAGCAGAGAGAGAGAGAGAGAGGGAGCAGCCGAACTGCCGGATGTAAACAAACCTTAATTTCCCGCGGCTTTGTTGTTGTTGTTTTTTTTACGGGGATTAGCCCACCCAGGCATAGGTCACTGACCTACATTGGGGCCTGAGGGGCAAAAATTCAGATAAAAAAAAAAAAAAAAAACACTGCCTATCTACCTATTGGACAAACTAAAATCGTTCCGGACCACAGAATGCCGGACTAGAGAGGTACAACCTGTATAAACATTCCAAACAATATTGGTTTTATTTTGGTTTGGGTCATCTGGGGAACCTTAAGATTCTAACTATGGGATTAAGTACTTTAACCCCTTGGCTGTGGGAGGTTACCCAAAGTTGATTAGAATCGTCTGGCTGTAGCCAGAATAAAGTGGCAAGTGCGGGAAACGCAGGGAAAGAGTTAAACAATAAGACACATTATCTCTACGGGATTTCTGTCGCAAAACATTTTTCGATCACATAAGAAATACAGGTCATATGTTAAGTTAGGTTATGATAAGTTATATTATAAGTTATAAGATAAGCTTAACATACATAGGTGGGGGGAGGGTAATAACTCAAAACTAGCGATTTCCAATAGAAATGAAGGTCTAAATCTTTCGTAGCACATCTCAAACCGTCAGAAAAAAAAACATAGTCTGCATGTCTAAGTACAGGGATGACCAAAACTTAAAATTAACCCAATATAGCCTATCTCGAATCTAAGCATCCAAATACTTATTGTAATTAAGTTAAAATTTTACCCATTAATTAATATAAATGATAATATATCCCAATGGTTCATGAGTGAATCATCAAAACAATAACAACACTATTTTGTCATGTTTTACTTGCGTCAGGCATTCTCAAAACAAAGTCCAGACAATGTCATTACTTCTAAATTGACTCGTATCTCCATCTAGTACGGATATACTCTGTAAATACAGTGAACCCTCACTTTACACGGTTAATTCAACCCACGGCGGCCCGCGTAAAGTGAGAAACGCGTTAAGTGAACAACATAACATATGGGATTAATTGAAATAGAGACCGGGCCGACCCCCAAACTCCACTTTTTCAGACACAATACCTACGTTGTAGTAAAAATAACTTCTTAATTTTATGATGGTATACACACACAATTAATAATTAAGAGAAATATCAATAATATTAGGTTTTTTAACACTTACATTACTAGAAAAGATGGCTGGGCACACGGGGATGGGGGGGTTGGTTCCGAGGCAGAGGGCAGATTATTGGCCCTCACCTGTATCACTTGTATCAATTGTATCACTATCCACCACAGGGCCTCTTTGTTAAACCCCTCAAAGTCCATATAAGTCCATATCCTCACGATCATTATCACTATCACTGACTTGGGCCGGCTGTGGTGGGTGGCGGGGGGTGAAGAACTCGGTAATGTTTTAATGACTGGGCGACCTTGTGCGCACCCTGCTCGCGCCGCTCTCCGTGTAAAAGGGTACACACACCGCAGAAAGTGAGCATTCTGGTTTCGGCAGGGTACCGCGTAAACGTGGAAACGCGTAAAGTGGGACCGCGTAAAGCGAGGGTTGACTGTACACTGAAAAAAAAAGAGAAAGTCTCCCAGGTAAGAATACATGACAGCTGAGCTGGTGTGAACATGGGAGTTTTTCATGTCCATAAGCTGCTCTTCACGGCACATTTCTTACTTACGAAATGCCCATGACTTAGACCATAAAAAATCACCCTTAAAATTTACCTGAACGTGGCATTTTGGGTCTGAAGAGGCCATCGTTTGCACTACCTCTGACTGCATCGGTGAGTTTGTTGGAGAACGTCGTCTGCGGGGAAACTAGTGACGTCATTGCAAATGGCGGCCCTGTTTCTAGAGAAATAAACTTATCTCGACTATTATAGCAGAACTTTAAACTTTTATTACAAATTATTTATACCGTATCACTCTACGAACGTGGCAGAGTGTATTTCTTGTGTTTACTCAGAACCGATGACTCATCCATTGTGCACCTTAGTAGCAAGCCTTTTAGTATTGAAATTTTAACCAAATTTTTCAAGCCCCTTAGATTGCACTTGTAAGAGTGTTTGTTTGAATATTTATAAGGAAAGAATATTCAATCATATAAAGGTAAATTATTAATGTGGTGTCATTCATGCTTGTGTATTTATGGCATATGAAATCCTAAAACTTATTTTCACAGACCACTTAAATGTTTTGTATCCTTATGAAAGTTATATGAATGAGAAAGAATTAAGTTCACTGGATATTTTATTCTGTAATAAAAGAAACTATTTTTTAGTTAATTAAATTGCCTTTTTTAGTTACCTTTTCATTTATATTTTATAGTGTGGTAGATACAGTAGTTAATTTGATAAAGATAGTAGTACAGGCAGAGAATTGGGGAGGAAGAGGAATAATTATAGAGTGAAAGGAATTTTTACCCCGATGACACCCATTAATCCATTAGAAGTTGTAAGAACCCAGACATTTAGTACAACAAACAAATTTTTTATGCTTCATCACTAAAATAAATTACAAATGAATACCAAAAAATACTGACCCAGATTCAACCTTCAGGTAATTGATTCATCTATACAGTATTCAAAAAGGTTTTTTTGTTATTGATTTTGTTCTTTGATCATCTCCAGACGTGAGATGGACTGCAGCAAAGAAGAATCTTGGGTGTTTACAGGAGAGTATTGGAACAAGCGTAAGGATCCAGGGTTTGTAAATATGACATTTGAGAAGTTGTGGTAATATTTGATATAGTAAGACAACTGTTAAAATTCTTCTTTATATTTTTGAGAAACTTGTGTATATGTTACCTGCCTCTAGAGTCACAACTGAATACAAGGAGAGATTAAATATGAATATAAAAATTGTATCCCACTGAGTCACACCATATAAAGAACAAGCTTAGTGAAGAATTGGAAAAATGGTCCCCGTTTATTTACTTAAACTATTATCATATTGCGTAATGATTACCATCATTAAGCATTTTGTACAAGTTTAACAAGTATTATCTCTGTATAAGTGTATTGGATGGTTGAAATCCTCACAATAATGATAAATCAACCGAGAAGTGCTAGGCATAGAAGCCAGATGACAGTTCCTGGAAACACATACATGACCCACTTCAGTTATCAATCACATGGACTTTATATTGTTTAGTTAAGGCAAATCCCCTTCATGCTATTAAATTTCACATTCATACATCTTGACTCTGCTTTCTCAATTATTAGCTTAGAAGATTTATCATTGGGTGGACAGGTGTCTTAGTGAGAAAGTTTGAAGTGCTCTTGTGTGGTACAGTGTACAGGTAATTGTTTTGAAGTGCTTTGTGTGGCATCTCTGATGATAATGCATTCCATTTTCATCAACACTTGCCATCATGACAACTACAGTAGTATGGTTAAACACTGTGTGTGTATGGTTCTCCAGTTACTTCATCAGATGTATATTTTTGTTTGTATGATAATTTTTGAAGTTGTTGTTTACTTGTGTTTTGTTTTGTTTTTTGAAGAAGTTGTCCTATTATTATTATTATTATTATTATTATTATTATTATTATTATGCAATGGAGTGTCAACTTTGCTGATTTGGGGAGTCTCTTTACATGGGCTCATTACAAAATATCTTATATTAAATAAGAAATTCTTCTGTATTCAGAGCTAGAAAGTCCCCACACATTTTAATTGATAATTATAATTACCAGTCGGAGTTTTAAGTCATTATTATTGTTATTAATTTTGTTGTTATTTTCTAGAAACTGGCTTGAAATTTTATCTTAAAACACTCTTCATCAATTTCAACACAATTTTCAAAGCTGTTGTATTTAGGCTGTGTCCAGCTGAATAGAAACGCAGACTTGATCATGGTTGGGTAGCTTTTAGCAGTTGATTGTCTTTTTTTTGTCATATCAGTAGGTGAGGGTCCTCCTGCAGATTGTGTGAGTGTCCCTGTACACCCTAAGAAAAGCATCATCTATTGTGAAGGATTCATTTTCTTTCAAACACAATTACTATTTATTTTCCTTCTTGCCATTCATGTGTCGAAGAAAACACAGCCTTCTGTTAGTTCTTTATATATTATGGTACCTCCTTGACAGGTAGTGATGTTTTAATATCTTCCTATAGTAAAACAATTAAAAGGTTACATATGTCACCAATGTTTGCATTAGAAGGCAGCATTTTTGTAATTCATAAGTTGCACAATAATAACTAGCTACATTAATTTTAGAGAATAAATAATTAATTATGCCATAAACACAGTTGGATTCACTTGTCTTTTCATAATAATGCTGTGCCTTTAGTAGAAATTTACTTCACTTTAGAAATGTCACTTTACACTTAAAGGCTACACCGTAAATGTTGTGTAGCTGTTGTTAGTAGTGAAATGTGTGATATTATCTTGATCTCTACTTGTTCTTTACAAGTACAAGTACATCACCGATTTTCCGGCACCCTTGGTTCCAAAGCCTTGCCGGATTATCCATTTTGCCGGACCAACCAAGGTCAGGTAAAATAATTCAACAATACACCTCTGACCCATTAATTATACACCTCCCATGTCTCTAAAGCACCATGGATTGTTAGAAACTTAATTTAAACAAATATTAAATGTGAAAAAGCCATAATTTTGAGCAATGTACTGTACACACTTTGTACTCAAATGTACTACACTAGACTAAAATTTCTATCTCTTGTGCAAACTATGTGATGTTTATACTTTAATTAATCACTATATTACAGGGATTCCAGCAATGCAATTTAAATTCTGCTAAGCCTAGTCAGCTACATTTATAAGATAAAAATTTAAAGCCTAAACTGCCTTCACCCTGGCTGTGAGGTGTGGAGGGGAGATAACAAAGTGTTTAGTTATCAAAACAAAAGGAGTTTTAGTTTTTCCTTATATAATGTCACTGAATTGACTTGGCAATATATAATTTGTATTGCTGTAATTCTTGTAAGATAGTGATTAATTTGAGTATAAACATCACATAGTTTCCACTAAACATAAAAAAAATTGTATTTAACCTATTACAGGCTTACCCTTAAGGACAATTATTTCTTTTACTTTTTTCACAATATATACAGTATTAAGGATGGTGTGTGCATGTAAATGAGTAAAAATAAATGAAGAAAGTTACATATATCTTCCCGAAAATATGAGTTAAAATTTTTTTACACAAATGTACTACACTAGAATAAAATTTATATCTCTTGTGCAAACTATGTGATATTTATACTCAAATTAATCACTATCTTAGAAAGATTCCAGCAATACAATTTATATTCTGCTAAGTCTAGTCAGCTACATTTTATAAGATAAAAACTTTAAGCCTAAAACTAGCTTCACCCTGGCTGTGAGGGAGGGAGGGAGGGAAGTTAAGTGCCCCTCAAAATTTTTTCCAAACTAAAGGAGGTGCCGGACCATCAGTTCTCGGATAATTGGTGGTGTACCTGTAGTATCTCAGTGTAGGCTCAATGTTATCCAAATATTTCATCTCAAACTTATCTCACCACTTCTACTAAATTTACTTTATGAAACTTACTGAGAGTTATCTTTACTAGAAGAGAAAATAGTTATTGTTGAGGATTACGCAAAATTCCCCTTCATAACAGTGTAGTCATCATCATCATAAATGTTTTACAGTCATTTTGGAAATATGTAATGCAGTAATACCTGGTAGTTTCATGCTCTGTTTCTATCAACCTTTTTCTTTTCTCAGCTAAATTGGGTGGAGTGAATATCCTGTACTAAGTCAGGAGATATTCAACACATTTACATCCTTTTAATAACTTTTTATGACATGCAAAGAATGTGGAGGATCTGTTCTGTGAGATCCAAGAGGTCCTTGTGGGTCATTCTTCAAATTGGCAGTTCTTTTACTTCACTATCCCTAAATGTATACAGTATATGTGTGTATGTGTTTAAGACTATGTAAGAGATTTTAGTATAGGTATATTCAAATGCTGGGAAGTTCAATAAATATGCAAAACAAAGACAAACATTGCCACATATTATCTGCATACTGTAATTGTATAGTTACTTTGTCCGTCCATAGGATATATTTTACAAGTGAAGTATTAATGGGTAGTAAACTTCCACAGTACTCACTTACCACTACATACCCATCCAAGCATTATCATACATGCATACCCTCAACCACAACCTGACATGTGGTCAAATCCAAAGTAAGAAACCAAAGGAGTTTTTAATGTATTATTAGAAAACTTTTTGATAACATCCCCCAAAATGAGCTTTGTCAAATTTGAATTAGTTGGAAGTAACAGAGCAAGAAAGCTTTTGGAGATTGAAATGTTTGCAAAATTTCAGTGTTTCCCCACGTTCTTTATGCATTCTCTAAGAGTTATAAAGTTTTTATATAGATATCACAAGGTTAGCTTACTGTTCCAAACTAATTAAAAAATTTATTTTCAGTAAGATACTAGCATTTCTCAGGCTATAATAATTAATTAAGAGCTTAAATGCTGATTGATATATGCCTCTTGTTAACCAGCCTCTTGGTGCTTAGTGACGTTTACAATGTATTCGACAATAAAACACTGTTCATCAATCAGTAGTTTGTTAACTGAGGGTGTTAAGTCATCCTCTTGTGTTTAGACTACAGGCTATAATTTTACGTATGTGAATGAATTGATTGTCTGGGTTTGTTTGAGCTTGCAAGGATCCCCATTTAGTATTGCCAAGACTGTGTTTTAATGATTAACCACCATGCACATAAACAAAGCTGGTAACAAGAAAGACTTAATTAGGACACTTTCATTATCCCAGCATTAAGGATTTAATCCATCATATGGGATGCTGAAATACTCATAATTATCAAGCAAATATATATATATATGCAGGTTGTACCTCTCTTGTCCGGCAACCTCGTGACCTGACCGGTGCCGGATCATGGAAATTCACCCTTTTCCTGGATAGATAGTGACTTGTGCTTTTGCTTGGAAGCTCTAGCACCACTTTCTCAGCATCCTGGTCTCTTTGAAGACATATTGAAGGGTTAAATGTTGTACAGTAGCTTCTCAAATTTCGCGAGTTTTTAATTCTTAACGTATTTTATTGGAACACAAAAAAATAAATAAAAATAAATTTTGACGGCGGAAACTTGAATTTCGACGGGTTTGAACGGCCCGCCAATGTGCAGATGACGTGCATAATCGTGTAAACAACGTCATTTCTCTTATGTACAAAAGATTCATTATTGTTTATTACTGAATGTCTTTTTTATTGAATTAATGTTTATGTGTGCAAAATGAGCAATACAATTCATTAATAATACGTAGAATATTAAAACACACGAGGAAATGACACAGCATTGTTTTCGTTGATTACAAAACCAGTGACTGACTGGTTCTACATACAAAACTGAAGAAAATAAGACCTTGGCTGTAGCTGTAGTAAAATTAATATGGTTGTTTTAAGTAATGTTATTTAATGTTAATAAATGGAACAATAGAAGTAGCTAGCGATAATGGCAAAGAAAAAAGAGGATCGAGTATGTAAGTGCGCACACGTGAAAACATATCGTCATTACTTTACATAAGAATATGAAAGCAACACTTATTTACTGTTCATATATATTTTAATTAATGTTTCTGAATTTGTTTTTATTGAATTAATGTTTGTGTGTGCAAAATTAACAATACAATTTTTTAATAATACGTGGAATATCAGAGGAGGCGAGACGGCTGCCGGCATTGTTTATGTTAAAGCTTACAAAACCAGTGACTGATTGGTTCTACATATAAGACTGAAGAAAATAAGACCCTGATTGTAGCTGTAGTAAAATTAATGTAAAAAAATTAATATGGTTGCTTGAAGTACCTGTAATGTTATTTAATGTTAATAAATGGAACAATATAAGTAGCTAAGCATTAATGGTTAAAAAAAAGTGAGACTGTGCGTATGTAAGTGCGCACATGTGAAAACATATTGTCATTACTCTACATAAGAATATGAAAGCAACACTTATTTACTGCTCATATGTATTGAAGGGTTAAATGTTGTACTCTGTATAGACAAGCAGAGAGAGAGAGAGAGAGGGAGCAGCCGAACTGCCGGATGTAAACAAACCTTAATTTCCCCCGGCTTTTTTTTTTTTTTTAACGATTAGCCGGCATAGGTCACTGACCCACATTGGGGCCTGAAGGGCAAAAATTTAATACTCCTGTAATAATAATAATAATAATAATAATTCAGATAAAAAAAAATAACAAAAAAAAAAAAGAGAGAGAGAGAGAGAGAGACTCTCTATCTACCTATTGGACAAACTAAAGACCACGGGAGTTTCCGGAACCTCAGAATGCCGGACTAGAGAGGTACAACATGTATGTATGTATATATATATATATATATATATATATATATATATATATATATATATATATATATATATATATATATATATATATATATATATATATATATATATATATATATATATATATATATATATATATATATATATATATATATATATATATGATAGATCATAATTATTTGGGTAACTTTGTACAGTATTATGGTATACTGTAATGTGATGTATGTAGTTTTTCATCAAGTGTGTTGTCATTTTGTTTTAGTATTTTTCCTGTAGTGAAGCTTGTGTCATGCATAATTCTTTATATGTCATTTCCTCTTCATAATGTATCATGTCATTTATTTGTCATTTTGCATCCTTCTATATACTGTGTGTCCTCATGCTCTGTTATCTGTTTTATTTATAGTATACATGTGAATTATTTCACGACTCATAACAACATCAAAACCTGGAGATCATACTTGTAACTCACATCACAAATAAGAATCTAGAATTAAGTTGTCAGAGCTAAGCAGAAGTGTTTATCAGTGGAATAGGATGCTTAGTTGTCCTGTCCGCATGCTATGAACCAGTCACTTTGCTTTACTAAATAAAAATTATGTAGAAAGTTGTATTTGAAGTTTTAAAATGAATTATTGATCAAGTTTTTGGTTGGAAAACAGGCTTTGTCTTAGGGATTCATTACAAACAGACTAGAGAATATTTTCTTGATTCTGTCATGGATAATTATGAAGAACTTAAATAGTGTTACAGTTGAGAAACTATAAAGACACAGGTAGGCAGTGCTCCTCCTGAAGGATATTTATTGTTTTTGGGTTGAGGATGGCCAAGTGTTGAGTTTATGTGCAATACAGAGAGTACCTTAGAAGAATGCCAAATAGACTTCACAATGAGCATAATGAAGTTAATAGGTGCACTAATATTGTGTAAGGAGATTATGAGGTTTTTGTATAACAATAATGAAGATATTTTAGTACAGTATTTTGAAAATTACAGTTCCATTAGTGTTTAGTTATTGTTTGCATTTAGATATAATTGGCATGTTTGTCGCTATGGTAATTCATTATATCTCTTTTGCTTCTGCTTCAGTGTAAGAAGAAAATTTGATCTATATGTTGACATTGTTACAGCATATTAGAGCAATGATTTTTAAGTGTAATTTATTGCGGATGAAATGTGAATGACTGCTGTGATTTTTTTTTTTTTTTTTTTTTTTAAGAATAGGTTACATTATAGAATACTTAACTGGAGCTTTATTATCAGGCTTAACTAATTGGTTGTTGATTTACTTATTTAC